TGAAGGTTTTTGAGGGTTTTTTGAAGGTTTTTGAAGGGTTTTGTGAAGGTTTTTGAGGGTTTTGTCAAGGTTTTTAAGGGTTTTTTGAGGTTTTTGAAGGGTTTTGTGAAGGTTTTTGAGGGTTTTGTCAAGGTTTTTAAGGGTTTTTTGAAGGTCTTTAAGGGTTTTGTGAAGGTTTTTGAGGGTTTTTTGAAGGTTTTTGAAGGGTTTTGTGAAGGTTTTTGAAGGGTTTTGTGAAGGTTTTTGAGGGTTTTGTCAAGGTTTTTAAGGGTTTTTTGAAGGTTTTTGAAGCGTTTTGTGAAGGTTTTTGAAGGTTTTCTGAAGGTTTTTAAGGGTTTTGAGAGTTTCTGAAGGTTTTTCTGAGGGTATTTTGGGGTTTTTGGTCACTCACGAGTCCCGGCGGCGCCGCTGGTGCTCGAAGACGAGGAGGCCGCGGGCGTTGACGCTGCAGAGCAGCTCGCGGTGCCGCAGCAGGTCCAGGCGGAACGGCCGCTCTGTCACCAGCAGCCGGTGGCCCCCGGGGCCCAGGGACAGCTCCAGCGTGCCCTCGTCACGGCCTGTCACCTCCAGCCTGGGGACAGCGGGGTTTGAGGGGTGTCACCATCCCAGGGCACCCCAAAGTGCTGTGACTGCCACCCCGGGACAGCTCCAGGGTGCCCTTGTCACGGCCTGGGGACACCTGACGGGGTGTCACCATCCCAAGGCACCTCAAAGTGCTGTGACAGCCACCCTGGTACAGCTGCAGGGTGCCCTTGTCACAGCCTGTCACCTCCAGCCTGGGGACAGCGGGGTTTGAGGGGTGTCACCATCCCAGGGCACCCCAAAGTGCTGTGACTGCCACCCCGGGACAGCTCCAGTGCCCTCGCCACAGCCTGGGGACAGTGGCCATCAGGGGGTGGCAGTGTCCCTATCCCTGTGTCTGCCGTCCCCCTGTCCCCTCACCTCTCAGCAGGTGGCAGTGTCCCCTGTCCCCTCACCTCTCAGCAGGTGGCTCTCCCAGCAGCACGTCGGGCACCTGGTAGCGGGGTCGCAGCGGGGCCAGCTCCTGGATGCGCAGGCGAGTCACGTTCCCGGTGAGCCCCCACACCTCCAGCAGCAGCGGCACCTGTGGGGGGACAGTGTCACCTGGGGCAGGGGACATGGGGACAGTGACACCTGGGAGCCCCCACACCTCCAAGCAGCAGCGGCACCTGTGGGGACACGGGGACAGTGACACCTGCACTGAGGACATAGGGACAGTGACAATAGGGCAGGGGACACAGGGACAGTGGCACCTGGAGCAGGGAACACGGGGACAGTGACACCTGCACTGGGGACATGGGGACAGTGACACCTGGGGCAGGGGACAGCGGCACCTGGGGGCCCCCACACCTCCAGCAGCAGTGTCACCTGCAGAGAGGGACCCCCGTGTCCCCTGCTGTCCCCTCACCTGGGGGGCCTCGTTGACCAGCTGGATCCTGTCCCCCTGTGACCTCGTGACCCCTGTGACCTCCCCAGTGTCCCCAGTGTCCCCTCACCTGGGTGGCCCCTGTGACCCCCCAGTGTCCCCAGTGTCCCCTCACCTGGGTGGCCCCTGTGACCCCCCCCAGTGTCCCCAGTGTCCCCTCACCTGCGTGGCCTCGTTGACCAGCTGGATCCTGGCCACGTCGGGGCCGAGCTCCAGGGAGCCCAGCAGTGCCCGGTACGGGGAGCTCCCGGGCTGGATCCGCCGCTGCCGCCTGGGGGGGACACGGGGGGGGGACACGGGGGGCTCTCAGTGACCCCCCCGGGCCGTGCCCCCCCCGGGCCGGGCGCGCCCCCCCCTCCCCACACCTGCAGAAGCCGCTCTGCTCGCAGGTCTTGAAGTTGCCGCGGTCGACGGCGAGCGAGGCGCCGAGGCACAGGGAGAGCCAGAGCGGCCACCTGGGGAAACGAAACGGGGGTCAGCACCCCAAAAAGAGAGACCCCCCCAAAAACCCACCTGGGGAAACGAAACGGGGGGTCAGCACCCCGAAACACGGGGAGACCCCCCCAAAAACCCACCTGGGGAAACGAAACGGGGGGTCAGCACCCCAAAAACACAGAGACCCCCCCCAAAACCCACCTGGGGTCAGCACCCCGAAACAGGGGGAGACCCCCCCAAAAACCCACCTGGGGAAACGGGGGTCAGCACCCCAAAAACACACAGAGACCCCCCAAAAACCCACCTGGGGTCAGCACCCACCTGGGGAAACGAAACGGGGGGTCAGCACCCCAAAAACACAGAGACCCCCCCAAAAAACCCACCTGGGGAAACGGGGGGTCAGCACCCCGAAACAGGGGGAGACCCCCCCCAAAACCCACCTGGGAAAATGGGGGGGTCAGCACCCCGAAATAGACAGAGACCCCCCCCCAAAACAACCCCCAAATCCCACCTGGGGGGCAGCAGGGAGGGGAATGGGGGGGTCAGGGAGCAAGGACCCCCCTAAAAAACACCTCAGGTGAGAACGGGGGGTTCCAAACCCCCCAAATGGCACCTGGGGGACATGGACCCCAAAAACCAGCGGGGGGAACATGGGGGGGGGTTGCCGGGGAGACGGAGGCTCCGCCCTCCTCGTGTTGTGATTCGCATGCGAGGCTTGAGCGATGGCAGCATGATCCAATCAGAGCGCGGCTCGGAAAACAGGCGGGAACGCACCGTGAGGGCAGGACAGAAATCCAATGAAAGCGCGGGAATGCTGAGTGACACACCCTCTAGCCCAATCAGAATGCTGCTTTCAGCCGTAGCCCCGCCCCTAGGGCTTCCGTAGCAACGCCCCGCCTCCTCGCTCATGGCAACCACCGCCCTGGCGACCGCGGCCCGTCCTTTTCCCAAGAACCAATCAACAGCGCGCATTTCTGAGTGACGGCAACCGCGACCAATCAACAAACACCTCTGACCCTTCTCTGCCCGATCATATTGAGTGACAGGTTGATTAACCAATGAGAGCGGAGCAGCGGGCACGCCGGGGCCGCCAATCAGCGCGGGGAGGCGGGGCGTGGGCAGGCCGCGGCTTTGTGGTGAGCGGGGCCGGGGGCGCTGGGGGGGAACTGGGACGAACTGGGATAAACTGGGACCAACTGGGACCAACTGGGACCAACTGGGGCCAACTGGGGCCAACTGGCCTGGACTGGGGCCGAGCGGGACTCGCGGGGCCACGCTGGGATTGACTGGGACCCGATGGGTGACAGGGCCGAGCTGGGATTGGCTGAGCTGGGCCCACTGGGACGGACCGGGATGAACCGGGATGAACCGGGATGAACTGGGATGGACTGAGATGGACTGGGATGGACTGGGACGGACTGGGACGGACTGGGACGGACTGGGATGAACTGGGATGAACCGGGATGAACCGGGACGGACTGGGACGGACTGGGATGGACTGGGCAGCTCCTGCCTGAGTGTGCCCTCCACCCCCCGAATCCCAAACCGCTCCTTTCCCCCTCCCCAGTCCCATCGCCCGCACCCCGACGGAGCTCCCTGGGCTCTCATCCCCATTTTTCTCGATTTCCCCCCATTTTTCACCCCCCTGCAGCTCCCCGAGCACTGACTCCCCATTTTTCCTGTTTTTCTCCCATTTTTCCCCCGGCCCGATGGAGTTCCCGTAGCATTGACCCCTCTCTTTACCCGGTATTTTCCTCATTCCCCCCCGCAGCTCGATGGAGAGTTCCCAGAGCACTGATTGCCCGTTTTTCCTGGTTTTTTGCTCAATTTCCTCCATTCCCTGCAGCCCCATGGAGTCCCCCGAGCACTAATTCCCCATTTCCCCCCCGGCCCGATGGAGTTCCCGTAGCATTGACCCCTCTCTTTACCCGGTATTTTCCTCATTCCCCCCCGCAGCTCGATGGAGTTCCCCGAGCACTGATTGCCCGTTTTTCCTGGTTTTTTGCTCAATTTCCTCCATTCCCTGCAGCCCCATGGAGTCCCCCGAGCACTAATTCCCCATTTCCCCCCTTTTTTTCCCCATTTTCTCCCCAGCCTGATGGATTTCCCGGAGCACTAATTCCCCATTTCCCCCATTTTTCCCCATTTTCCCCCAGCCCGATGGAGCACCCCGAGCACTAATTGCCCATTTCCCCCCGTTTTTTCCCCATTTTCCCCCCCAGCCCGATGGATTCGCTGACATCCCCTGCGCACTTCCTCCCCTTTTTTTCCCCGTTTTTCCCCCAGCCCGATGGATTTCCCGGAGCACTAATTCCCCGTTTTTTCCCCGTTTTCCCCCAGCCCGATGGAGTTCCCGGAGCACTAATTCCCCGTTTTTTCCCCATTTTTATGGATTTCCCGGAGCACTAATTCCCCGTTTTTTCCCCATTTTCCCCAGCCCGATGGAGTTCCCGGAGCACTAATTCCCCGTTTTTTCCCCATTTTCCCCCAGCCCAATGCAGCTCCCCGAGCACTAATTGCCCATTTCCCCCCGTTTTTTCCCCATTTTCCCCCAGCCCAATGGATTTCCCGGAGCACTAATTCCCCGTTTTTTCCCCGTTTTCCCCCAGCCCGATGGAGTTCCCGGAGCACAGCCGGCAGCTGCTGCGGGGGCTGCGGGAGCAGCGCTCCCGGGGGATCCTGTGCGACTGCACGGTGCTGGTGGGCACCGCGCCGTTCCCCGCGCACCGCGCCGTGCTGGCCGCCTGCAGCTCCTTCTTCCACCTGTGCTACGCCGAGCCGGGCGGCGCCGGCGGGGCGAGGGGCGCCGTGGTGGCCTTGAACAGCGACATCGTCACGGCTCCGGCCTTCGCGCTGCTGCTCGAGTTCATGTACGAGGGGCGGCTGGCGCTGGCGGCGCCGCTGGAGGACGTGCTGGCCGCCGCCAGCTACCTGCACATGAACGACGTGGTCAAGCTGTGCAAGAAGAAGCTGCAGGCGAGGGGCCCGGCCGAGGCCGACAGCACCAAGCGGGAGGAAGAGGAGGAGGAGGAGGACGCCCCCAGCCCGCCCCCGCCGCAGCCCCCGCCCCACGGCCAAGGTCAGGACACCCGCCCGGGGTGCGGGGGAACGGCGGGTGACGGCCACCCCCCCGGCACCCACCGGGCAGCGGGGAAGCCCCTTCTCCTCATTTCCCTCGGGGGTGCAGCGGGGCCACGTCCCCCCCGATCCGCTCCCTGGGCGGGGGGGCTGCAGGTGCCAAGGGACCCCCCGCACCCGCGCGGGTGGCGAGGAAGGGGCTCCCCGGAGGGTCCCCCCTCCCCCCGGCGGTGGCAGCATCCTCCTCATCGTCCTCCTCCCCTCCGCGGTGCCCGGAGCGCGATCGTACCTGCGGCGGGGGCTCAGCGCCGGGCGGGAAGCGGGGCGGGGTGCGGGGCTCGGCGGAGCGGGGCCCCCCGGGGCCGGTGCCGGGGCCGGTGCGGGGCGGCCGGGCCGCTCCGCCACATCCGC